CCCACCGTCGCCCAGTTGCGTTCTATTATTGCGTGTACACCCCGAGTGAAAATTTGTTCTCTTTTAGCCTCGAAGGTCTATTTGGTAAAAGGTTAATTGCGATGACGCCCTATAGTATCATCAAATTGCGAACAGACCCCTCTGTAGTTCAATTCGCTGCGAATAGACCCCTGAGTGAATTTGTTTTTTACTCTGTTAAAAAAGTTTGAGGAGGTAGATAAACCCCATGTAGTCGTATTGGTGAGAATAGACCCCCAGTTGCTGATATTTATCTGGCTTTTAAAAGAGTCGAGAAAGTTTACTAATGGGGTGTATTCACACCTGGGCAAATACTATAGAGAGTCTATTTATAACAACTAGACTTGCAGGGGGTCTACTTGCAATTTGGTGATACTAAGGGGGTCTATTCGTAATTAACCCTTCGTCAAAATAAGTAAATCTCTCATTCTTTGAGGCAAAAGGTCAAAAAAATCACTCAGGGGCCTATCGGCAATTGGGCAATAGTACAAGGGGTTTTATCCATAAACAACCCTGGAAACAATAGATTCATATCCTCTCCACCTGGTAGAAGGTAGTGAAGAGTCCCTCACATTGAACCCCGTTATCTATTATTTAGTGCCTGGTTGTGATCTTTCTCTTGATTGTTAAAAAGGAATGAGTAATATATGATAACTGCCATAAACTTTGGAACTTAGATAAAACATCCATAAATTTTTGGTTGTGCCAAAACTCCCTAAACTTTCAGTTTTTCCCGACAGACCCCTAAATTTGATCTTCTGTCAACAAAATACAGGGAAATTTGATCTTCTGTCTGTACGTAACAAGTGTTTATCCACAGACTCCCTCTTCATTTCAACTACGATCTACATGATAGTGTCGCAGTAGAGAACCTAACAATATAACCAACAATATCGGTATAGCCATATCTAAATAGCCAGCTTAATCTGAGATATACGTTTATTTTTTTCGAACCAACTAACAATAGTTCATTACATTGTATATACTCTTCTGACACAATTATTACCAAGATGGATACACAAGAGCAACAAAAACTGATCATTCTACAATCTCTTCTTATACTTCCTCACTGCTGTATCTACTGTTTCCCATATGACAGAAATACCACCAGTTTTATATATCAAAATTTGTGAAGTGCAGCAGAAACCCAAGCTGCTGTGATGTGAACCAGTTCATGCTGCCATGTCTGAGTCTGGCTCAATGGCTGATCGGAGTCCAGAGCGTATCATCATTTGCGCATAGAACTCAGCATGCTCCTGATGAAGAACAAATTTCATTGGCAATGAGGAACAAGTCACATAGGTACAAGCACAAAAAATGTAGATTTAACTATGTTTATACTATCAGAGAAAGATGAAGATTGTCAGGTATATGAAAGGCTGATACCTTCACTGTAACAATAACAACTGCAACGCCATTTTGTCGAGATTCATGAAAGAGTTTCCTTGCCTCATTGACAGTTATAGATGGAACAACTTGTGGCAATGCCTTTTCCACTGCAGTGAAGCACAGAAGACTAAGTAATACTTAAGGTACAAAAATGATTTTAAGTTTGAAAATGATTATAGCATATGCATGAGAGAGCAAATCATGAAAGAGAGCATTGTTACCTAATTGCTCGGTGTGTCGTGCATCATCGATCAATAAAACTTTGTAGCTGTCCCCACTGCCAAGGCTTTTTTTATCTCTCAATTGTCCAATGTCTCCTCCTGTAAATTCAAATAACGATGAATGCATAGTGCATCTAGGCATGCATTTATGGAGAAACTCTCATAATAATAATAATAACAATGATAATAAAAGACAGAAAAACAGAAAATTAACAGAAAATAATTATGTCGCTCTACTTACCGAATAAAGTCTTCAGAAAACGCAATATTTCAATACCCAATATGTAGCAGCACAATAATTTTCTCTTAAGAGCATCTTTCCAGTGATACTATAGTTATTCTCAGAAAATTCGTGCTAAAAACCAGAAAGGCATGAGAATGAAGAAAAGCTATAGTCATTTCAGCACGGAGTAAAAAGTTAATATATGGCCTTCCAGATTCCAACACATTGCAGATATGATACATGGAGTTCTCAAATTATGCAAATGTAATAAGTAAATTTACCTCGTATAGGAAGGACAGTTACTCTCTCTAAATAGTTTTCTCTTAATAGTAAGTGAAATAATAACTGCAAGAAATTCAAAGTTTACTGGAACCTTTTCATGTGGAGACAATATGCCCCCCTTTTTTCGAGGAATTAGATTCGAGAATAAGCCATATTTGCTAAACAGTTTACAACAAAGATTAACAAACCAATTGATTTGTACAACTCTGGAGAACTAAAATATATCAAAGAGGAAATATCCTTAAAGGCAAACTAACACATAGCTTTGTAAGTATATCCCAAGAAAATACTTGAACAGTAGTTACCAAAAACTCACGTCACATAAAACAAATCACACAGTTGCAATGATCACAAAGCTGATTTATTATAAAGTCTAAAAAAGAGACCTATTTTTCTTTCTAAAGAAAAATTCAAAGCAGAAGAGGCTTCTAAGACTTGGACAAATTCTTAAAGATAGGCATCAAACATTTCATGCGGATACAAAGCTCATGACAGGACTACTTGCCTTGATAGCAGAATCAATCTAATTTAGAAGTGACTCAGTTTCCTCAGTGAACTCTAGAAAACTGAAGGAAACAACTGAACTTTAAGAAAATCAAGGGACAAAAAAAGGACCATCAAATTGTAGGCGAAAAGAAGCAAATCTTAATTTACTAGTTTTCCTTCTACTCTTTGGACACCCATGATAAGAACAGTTTATCCTATAACTCCGAAAAAGGAATCCGTTAACCCAAAAAAAGAAAAAAAATTACCTTCTTCAGCTTCAGTAATTGGATCGAACTGCGACTGATCAAAGGTGGGTCGCTCAAGAAGACCAGTTCCCCCTCTCAGTGAGCTCAAGTTCCCTTTAGCACTAACCAGGATGCGCATCTCACTCTTTGAACTCATGGGTCTAAAGCACATGGGAACATTGGCAAGGGAATGAGAATGAGGAGTTGCATTGTGGGGCATGAGAGCTGCAAAGGCTGCAGCTTTGCTACTGGTCGCCATTAAAGATCAGATTGTTTTGCTTCACAAGAGAAGAATGTAGAGATTCCAAGGACTTCTTGGTTTCCGTAGATACCCGAGCGAGATTTAAATAGGTTTTATGGGAAGGAGGGTGGCGGCAAATTTTCTGGTGAGAAAAAAAATCTGTTGTGCCGTGTGATTCTCCTACACGAATAAATGGTGTGGAGACAATTTTTGAGGCCTCAGACTGAAGAGAAGAATGTGAGGTGGGTATGAATGCTTTATCATCCATCACAAATTTGACCTGATGATTGATATAATTTGTGTGGAGAAGTCCACAAATTTCATAAGAAAAATATCCTAAGTTTGATACTGTTTTCATTCCCAACACGCCATGTTCCTGTGTCTGTGGTCCCGTCTCGCTTGTTTTTACTCTGCAGAGGACATATTTTCCGTACATTTCTGGCGAAAGCCCTTTCCAATGTAGACATGAAGATTCCAGAACAAGAGGCGCGATTTATGGATCCAGAAGATGATGTTTCGTTCTAGAAATTTCTCGAGGAATATAACATGGAAAAAAGAAGAAGAATGCAAACTGCAGATTAAATTATCTGATCCTCCTGAAAATATCGACAATCAACACAAGCAGCCCTGAGATGTATATTTCTCTGCAACATGCTGCATAAGCATTTTATGATCTGCAAGTATGAGTACCGCCTGTCAGTTTCTGCATAGATATGGCAGACATTTCCTAATGTCCCTATGGGCATTGATTAGTTTCAGCAAATAAACTGTTTGTCCTTTCTTCATTTCCCTGGTCATCACATTATTGACATCAACTGTAATCTGATCACGTAACTCAAGCCACTTGAAAACCATTCTGTTTCCTGAATTCCCTCATTATTATGTATGTTGCATCCGCTGGATACTCCCTATATTTTCAATATTCAAGAGTCCATCGAGATACTATAACCATATGATATATCTTATTCTCGCTTTCAAGTTAGCTTTTTTTTCCCCGCTGTATGCTTCAATTAGTTTCAGCAAATAAAAGATGTTCTTTTTCTCCACACTGTCACATTACTGTAAATGTGATATGATTAGCATAATGTAGAGTCCTCCAACACAATTATGTTTTCTGAATTCTCTATTTATTGCGTCTTGCATCTTCTGGGTATTCATGTGTTTTCAAAGTTCACGAGTCCACCAATTCCACAAATTGGCACCTTTCAAGTTGGTATTTCCCCTTAAATTGAGAGAAATTTTAAACCAAAATTGTATTCAGATGAGATTGAACAAAACATCATTCCCCAAGGACTTCAATTGCTCATCCATCACTCTCACAGCCAGCTCAATCTCCTCCATCTGCTCATGAGATCTATCGCCAGCCACAAATTCCCAAGCCACACCATCAACCTCAACTAAACTACACCCTGGCACCTTCTTCACTTTTTTCTCCTCCATCACTTTCCTCACTTTCATCACATCCTCCCAATTATAAGCCGATGCATACATATTGGCCATCAATACATGTACTCCGCTATGATCCAACCCTAACTCCGCTAAACTCTTAACCGTCTCCTTTGCAACTTCAACTTCCCCATGCTCACTACACCCATTGAGCAATGCACCCAAGACATATGAATCCGGGTTCATTGGCATCTCATTAACCACTTTCTTTGCTTCGTTAATCAACCCAGCCCTACCCAAAAGGTCCACTAAGCATCCGTAATGCTCCACTCCAGGCTCGATACCATAAACTTGGCTCATTTTCTTAAACACTTTACGCCCGTGATCCACTAGACCCATTCGTCCGCAAGCACTAAGCACACAAATAAAAGTAACCTCATTCGGACAAACGCCTTCATCTTCCATTCTCACAAACAAATCCATCGCCCTTTCACATTGCCCGTGATTTGAAAACCCTGATATCATCGACGTATAAGCAAACACATCTCTTTGGAGCATTTCCTCAAACACTTGCATAGCATTTTCAATACACCCACATTTTGAATACATATCGATCAATGCAGTCCCCAAGACCCTGTCCAATTCAAACCCATTTCTTTTCACATAGGCGTGGATCCACCTCCCTTGATCCAAAGCTCCAAGAAACCCACATGCCGATAAAACCCCAACAATGCCAGCATGATTAGGCCGAACACCCACAACCTGCATCTCATTAAAAACATCCATTGCTTCTTGAAACATCCCAACCTGTGCAAATGTAGTGATCATCGTGCTCCAAGAAACCGCATTTCTCTCGGGCATTAAATCAAACATCTGTCTTGCAAGCTCAATCTTCCCAGACTTAGCATACCCATTAACCATTGCAGTCCAAGTAATCACATCTCTACTCATGCTCTGATCAAACAACTTCCTAGCACAATCGATGGAACTACAAGTAGCATACAAATGAATCAGACCATTTAGTACAAAATCATAAGACTCCCATCCCAGTTTAATAATTTGCGAATGAAGCATTTTACCCCAAAACAAAAATGGGATTTTGATGCAAGAAGTCAGTAAAAATGAGAAGGTGTAATTGTTGGGTCTTGAATTGGTAGAGCTTAGAACATGTCTATAAAAGGAAAAGGCATTAATGGGTTCGTTTCGTTCGGTGTGGGATTTGATAATGGCATTGAAGATGAAGGTTGAAGGAGGAAACGGCAGGTGATTGAAGATGAGGTGAGCATAAGGGAGGGCGAGCTTGTGGGTGGAGTTTGCGAGGATTGTGATGAGTTTTCCGGCGGCAAAAGGGTCGGAGATCGTGCCTGTCACGATGAGGTGGGAGTGGATTTGAGTGGCTTGGGTTAGGGTTAGGGTTTGGTTGAGGAAATCAAGAGTTTTCTTGATTGCTTTTAAAAGTTTTAATGGAGGGAAAGACATCTTTGGTTTTGAGATGGCTATGAGTGAAGTATATATAATATAAGGGAGTAACTTTTGGCATATTTACCTCATCTTCAAGTTTTATTTGCATGGATTTTATTTTATTTTTTTTTTTTTTGGGGGGGGGGGGGGGGG